TTACCCCCCCCCCAAATCAGACATGCTGAAAAAGCATTGTGAAGTGATTTGCTTTCTCCAGCTGGGTTCAAGAATTAAATGTTGGTTTTGGATTTCTGCTATTTTACTTATTGACCCTGGAAGTATTTCTACTGAAAGTCAGATAGTTAAGAAATTGGTCTCTGTGTTCTGGAGTCGTGGCCATGCTGGAGAGCCGCTCGTGGGGGGCAACTGGTGGCCTCGGTAGGGCGTGAAGGGCGGAGCGAAACGCCCCCCTTCCCATGAGGTTTTAGTCGCCCCCACACTCCCGGCTCATACCTGCTGTCCACAAGGCTCCCATGTGGCCGCCATCTTTCTTTCCAGAGAGGAGAGGGCGAATGGGGCAACACCCTTTCCCCTCCGGCAGACTTGATGGGCTGGATCAACGCATAGTCCATTCACTTTTCTGCTCCAAGCTGCTGGGTTCTGCATTAAGTCCTTGTGCTTCTGGGGCCATGGCCGTGCTGGAGAGCCGCTCGTGGGGGGCAACTGGTGACCTCGGTAGGGCGTGAAGGACGGACCGGAACGCCCCCCGACCCATGAGGTTTTAGTCGCCCCCACTCCCCCGGCTCATACCTGCTGTCCACAAGGCTCCCATGTGGCCGCCATCTTTCTTTCCAGAGAGGAGAGGGCGAATGGGGCAACACCCTTTCCCCTCCGGCAGACTTGATGGCCTGGATCAATGCATAGTCCGTTCACTTTTCTGCTCCAAGCTGCTGGGTTCTGCATTAAGTCCTTGTGCTTCTGGGGCCATGGCTGTGCTGGAGAGCCGCTCGTGTGGGGCAACTGGTGACCTCGGTAGGGCGTGAAGGACGGACCGGAACGCCCCCCTTCCCATGAAGTTTTAGTCGCCCCCACACCCCCGGCTCATACCTGCTGTCCACAAGGCTCCCATGTGGCCGCCATCTTTCTTTCCAGAGGGAGGAGGGCGGAAGGGAGCAACACCCTTTCCCCTCTGGGCAGAAATGATTGCCTGGATTAACGCATAGTCCTTTCACTTTTCTGCTCCAAGCTGCTGGGTTCTGCATTAAGCCCTTGTGCTTCTGGGGCTGTGGCCGTGCTGGAGAGCCGCTCGTGGGGGGCAACTGGTGACCTCGGTAGGGCATGAAGGACGGACCGGAACGCCCCCCTTCCCATGAGGTTTTAGTCGCCCCCACACCCCCGTTGTGAGCCAATTTTTTATGAAAAAAATTCTCATAACATGAAGTGTACTAATTTCCTTCCTTCTGTTCATTTATTTCTCTGGGAAATTCTCATTAAATGACCAAAATTTAAGAGTCATTACAATTTTATTTACAAATTTGTTAAAATTCTCTCTGTCTCTGTCTCTGTGTTTCTCTGTGTTGCTGACTCTGTCTCTGTCTCTCTCCCCTCCTATCTATATGTCTAAGGACCAGGTCAAGGGCCTCACTACTCTGTCACTGAACCAGATATCCAGGGTTGCTCCCACTGCACTCGTGTTTTCCTTGAAATCAGGGTGCCCCTAACAATTTATGGCAGCTTACAATATAGTTCATGATAATAAATAAATTGAGGCTTATATCCTAAAGCCAGTAAAGTTTAAGTCTGAAGCCCTCTCATTTCCATGGATGATTTTCATGGCTTTATGCTCAGTTTTCTTTCTTTCTTTCTTTCTTTCTTTCTTTCTTTCTTTCTTTCTTTCTTTCTTTCTTTCCTCCCTCCCTCCCTCCCTTCCTTCCTTCTTCCTTCCTTCCTTTCTTCCTTCCTTCCTCTTTCTCTCTTTTCTCTCTCTCTCTACTTGTGCCAGAGTCAGGAACCTAGGTTCTCATACTCATAAAGCCTGTGCTCTGTCACAGAGATCCATCCCCAGTATTTGTGATTTGTGTTCACTTTCTTAAAGTGGGTCTCCCAGATGGTATGAGCGCCAGAATTTGTGAATCTGCATCTATCTTTAATGTATTTTAGAAGATAGGTGATTCAATAGATCTATTCGGTATTATAGAGGATCTAAGGGAAAGAAAATGGGGGTGAGTGGAGATTGGTGATTTAGATATAATTCAGTGAATCACAACCATATCCATTAATTTGGTGGAAAAAATTAGAAACTTTAATTCCTGTCTCTCTCTTTTGAGCTATGCCCAGTTCCTCTCTAGGACATTTTTGCTTCTGTGACAGATGTTCAGAGCTCTCCTTTAACCCCTTTCCTAACCCAGACCACTCTGACAAAGGTTGTATTTTCTAGCTCCTCTTCCAGTAAAATGCTGATATGAGACTAAGTTTTAACCAACAGGTGTGATTCTAGTCTTGAAATTTCCTTAAATTGAAGTGATAGCTAATCCTTCTCTCTTTCCTCCCTCCTAATGATAGGAATGTGAACTTGATAGCCAGAGCTGCAGGAGACATGTTGGGCCATGAGGCAGCTTGAGGAATGGACTGACTCAGAGAGAAGCAAAAGAAAACGGGATTCCTTGTGCTGTAGAACACTGTGCCAGTTTCCTATTACCTACTTCTGGACTTTCACCTGAAAGAGAAATGCACTTTTACCTCAAGTAAAATACTGTTGTTGTTTGTTGTTTGGTTGCTGTTGTTGTTGTTTTCTTGGCACTCACAGATGAAACATTTCTAAGTTGCAATCTAGTGAAAGTCCTCATCACTATCCTTGTCAGAGTTACCAGTATTCCTTGCTTGAATTTTTGAAAGAATATGGTAATTGATATATCCATATCTATTCATATACATCCCAGCCTCCTTCCAATGAGTATTCTACACACTAGCGAAGTGATTGATCCAAATGCAAATTATGTCCCTCTCTGTCTTAATCTGCCCAGTCTGCTAATAATAGCAGACTTGGTGGCCAAAACAAATTTCTTTCTCACAGTTTTGCAGGCTGGAAGTCCTAGATAAAAATGTCAGCAAGTTTTCTGGTGAGACCACTTTCTGTGGTTTGCACATGGCCACCTTTTCCTTTTATCCTCACAACCTTTCCCCTATATCAACATGCACAGAAAAATAACTTTCTCTAGCGTGGCTAAGCCTCTTTTTAAAAGGATACCAGCCCTGTTGGGTGAAGATCCAATTTTTATACCTTGTTTTACCTCAATTATCTTCCTACCGTTCCTATCTTCAGATAGGAGGGGGAGGCGAAAGCTTCAACATATGAATTTGAAGTCAATGGGCCCCCACGGATGGCTTGTATGATGGGGGGAGGAGAGAGACGGTCGCTTTCTCCTAATCCGCCTCTGCCACCCCAGGCTAGAACAGATAAAGTTTGTGATGAGCCTCTGCATAGCACAAACCTCTAGTCCAACCAGCTCCACAAGGTGGCTGTCAAGCCACACCTGATGTCTGATTGATCTTCTCGGCATGAGAGTTGATCCCCACCACCTGATCTCCCAAGGAGCTGCAGACTCAGGCTGGAGCAAGGAATTGCTCTTTGCAGGAAAGGAAAGTCAGTCCTAGGCCTTTCCTAGGATTTCCAGGTTCTTTGTCCTATCTCACAGGAAAGAATTTCAGGAGATGAGCAGTGAAGTAAAAACAGATTTTACTTGGAGGTTATAGGAAGAGGGGAAGAGAAAGAGAAAGAGAGGGGGTGGGGGAGGGAGTAATGTGCTCAAGAGAGAATGCGGAATTCTCTAAAGATGGAGAACCTCGGTACACATCTCAAGAGGGGAGATACAGCATCATATGTGCTCAGGCACCACATGTGCTTGGCCACATGAGCTCAGGAAGCACATGTGTGGACTCGGGCAGCATATGCATGTGCTTCCTTTATTTAAGGTGGCTTTTATAGGGTTTTTCCCAAGGTGCCCCATGAGGGGCTTTCTAGCAAGGTAAGAGTCCCTTATCAGGGATATTGCTAAGCGGGATAGTGTTGGGATGTTCTTTTTTGAAATTCCTTTCCTGACATTTGTTCCTGCTGGAGCTCCTCTTGGAGTTGGGGGTTGCGGAGGTGGTCCAGCTTTCTCTGGGTCTGTTACTGGTGCCAGGTTGAAAGTCTTTCCAGGCTTTCTGTGCTCATAAGTTGCATCCAGACATCCTTTATTGCTCACTAGGAATCCTATTGCCATTGGGATGTCCTTTCCTATCTATCCGCCTGCCTACAGCATATTGGGTCCAGGGTGGGGAGAGATTGGAAGGGAACACAATTTAGCACAATGTTCCTTCAGATACAATGGTGGCTTCTTCTTGCTCTTAGGTTATAGTTGAGTAGTTAAAATGCCAAAATATCCTATGTGTCTGGACTTTAACTATCTCTCCATTTTTGTTCCTCATTCATGCATGCTTTAGCTATACATTTGATCATTTAGTCAGATATGCCATGATTTCTCCTAACTCAGAACTTTTGTACATGCTGTATAACCTGTAATAAATGCTCTTTCTCCACTCCTGTCCTTTTTAGCCAAGTAAATGTCTCCCTATTAGTTCCCATATCACGAATCTGTTCAACACTTTCTGAATGGATAAATAAGAGTGAGAATCAGTCAGATAGTTGTGGCAATGCCAAATAAGCACAAAGTAACAAAGACGATATACGTGTTTAAATTAGTCTCTGCTAGCACTGCACAGGATATGTTAGAATCTATATTAGAAGTGACATTTCAATGGTATAGCAAATATCCAAATGGGAAATAAAAGTTTGAATAAAATTTGTGTTAGTTCTTGCTCTTTTTGAGAATTCTTCAGCATAAATCAGCTTTGTTCTCAGCTTCCCTGTTGTTGTTTTGGGATTGGCTTTCATGACCTGGTTAGCAAATTATACTTGTTCAACTACTTTCCATATTTCTATATGTTGCTACTATTATGTTATCTCCTGTTCCTGGTTGACTTCAATGACTTAAATGATTTTTTGTTCCCTGACTATGTTTCTTTTCTATCTCACAGATTAGGAGATATTTCTTTTTAATTATGGTGGTAGTGACATCAACACACATACAGATGAATTGGGCTAAACTCCTGAAATTCTACAAAACTGTAAAAGTATGATAAAACTAAGTTAATAAAGTAAATATTTTTTCAAAAACAAAAATATGGGATGCTTCACAAATTTTTATATCATTCTTGCACAGGGACCATGATAATTTCCCCTGGATTATTCCAGTTGTAGTATATGTCCTGCCGAAGCAAGCACCATGTTAGCCAACAATTTTAAGTGACAGTAGGAAATGTTGGCAAAACTGTGGATGTAATGTTGAGAATGTAAATTGACATGACACTTCTGAAAAATTTTTGGGAGAGATTCCTGATGTTTCTTTTGAGGGGTGGGCACACCCAGAAGCGCTCAGGGATTACTCCTTGCTCTGTGCTCAGTGATCATTTCTGGCAGGGCTCATGGAAGGATATGGGGTACAAGGGATCAAATCCCTGGTCAGCCTTATGCAAGACAATGGCTTGCCTTCTGTGCTATCTCTCCAATCCAAACACTTTTATTTTTTTGGGTTTTGGGTGTTTCGCCTGGCAGGGCTCATGAATCACATTTGTTGCAGGGGATTGAACCCAGTCTGCCACAAGCAAACAAGGGAAGTACCTTAACCCTTGTGCTATCTTATTGGCCTTGACACATTTCTGGAGAGCATTATTTCTTCCAAGACTTAACATGTGCATACTTTAAAAAATTGAATTATGTAAGATACACAGTTACAAAGGGTTTCAGTTATACAATGTTCCAATACCCATCCCCTCACCAGTATAGATTTCCTACTACCAATGTCCCCAGTTTCCTTCCCACCACCCTGCCACCCTTCAGCCTGCCTCTATGACCAGCACTTTTTTTCTTTTTTCTTTCTTTTTCATTCTCCTTTGCTCCTCCTCCTCCTTGTCCTCCTCCTCTTCCTTCTTATCTTCTCTCCCTTGCTCATTCCTCTCTCTTCTTTCTCTGTCCTTTTGGGCACTATGATTTGCGATAGAGCTACTGAAAAGTTACCCCTTTATCTACCTTCAGCATTCAGTTCTTTTCCAGAGTAATCATTTTCAGCTATATTGTCATAGTGGTCCCTTCTCTATCATAACTGCACCCTCACCCCCCACTTGTGGTAAGCTTCCAACCATGGGTCAGTCCTCCTTCCTCCTGGCCCTCGTTTCTACTGTGTTTGGGTACTAGTCTCATAATATGTTTTTCTATATCCCACAAATGACTATAGTCATTCTATGTCTGTCCCTTTCTTTCTGACGCATTTCACTCAGCATAAAGTTGCAATGAACATAGAAGTGCAGATAGTTTTTCTGCTGTGTGTGTTTTGGGACACCATGTTATATTCCCAGAGGTGATATTGCTGGATCATATGGAAACTCAATTTCTAGCTTTTTGAGGTATGCCCATATTGTTTTCCAGAAAGGCTGGACCAGTTGGCATTCCCACCAGCAATGAATGAAAGCCCCTTTCTTTCTCCTTGTATCCATGCCAGCACTTGGTTGTTCTTGTTCTTTTCCATGTGTGCCAGTGTCTGTGGTGTGAGATGATATATCACTGTTGTTTTGATTTGCATCTTCCCGATGGTTAGTAATGTAGAACATTTTTTTCATCTGCCTTTCAGATGGGCTGGAGCGATAGCACAGCAGATAGGGCATTTGCAAGCGGCCAACATGGCCGACCCAAGTTTGATTCCTCCGCCCCTCTCGGAGAGCCTGGCAAGATACCGAGAGTATCTCGCCCGGCAAAGCCTAGCAAGCTACCTGTGACGTATTCAATATGCCAAACACAGTAACAATTGTCACAATGGAGATGTTACTGGGCCCGCTTGAGCAAATAGATGAACAACGGGAGGATAGTGACAGTGACAGTGTGACAGATCTTTCAGACATTTGTATTTCTTCTTTGAGGAAATTTCTGTTCATTCCTTCTTTCCATTATTTGATGGGGTTGATGGGGTTGGATTTTTTTCTTATAAAGTTCTACCAGTGCCTTATATATCTTTGATATTAACCCCTTATCAGGTGGGTACTGGGTAAATAACTTATCCCATTTCATGGGCTGTGTTTGTAACTGGGTCACAATTTCTTTTGAGGTACAGAAACTTCTTAGTTTAATGTAGTTCTATTTGTGCATCTTTGTTTCAATTTGCTTGGTCAGTGGTGTTTCATCTTTCAAGATGCCTTTAGCTTCAATGTCACAAAGGGTTCTACCTACATTTTCTTCCATATACCTTATGGATTCAGGTCTGATGTTGAGGTCTTTAATCCATTCTGATCTGACTTTTGTGCATGATAGAGGTCTGTGTTCATTTTTTCACATCCAGCTGCCCAGTTTTCCCAGAACCATCTGTTGAAGAGGATTTCCTTGCTCCACTTCATATTTCTTATTTTTTTTTAATCAAAGATTAAATGATCATATATTTGAGGGTCTGTGTCAGGATATTCAACTCTATTCATGTGAATACATTTTGAACTGAAGTTCTGCCTCTAGGAAATTTATTATAAGAAAATAATTTAGCTTTAAGGATGTTCATTGTAGGGGGCAGGAGCAATAGCACGGCAGGTAGGGTATTTGCCTTGCATGCGACCAACCAGGATTCTATTCCCAGCATCCCATCCCAGGTCCCCTGAGCACTGTCAGGGGTAATTCCTGAGTGCAGAGCCAGGAGTAGCCCCTGTGCATCGCTGGGTGTGACCCAAAAAGAGGGAAAAAAAAAGGATGCTCATTGTAGTGCTGTTTTTTCCCTTAAATTTAGTCTCTGTGAAATTAAAGTTTTTCATAATTCAGTTTCAGGCATACAGTATTTCACGAAGTACTCAGAATCTTTGACACTTTGAAATACTGCTATGTATAATATAATATGTACTGCTATTTATAATAATGAAAATTATCCAATGATTGAGGGCTGATCAAATAAATCATAAACTTTCAGAATTTATGCTTTGTGATTATTAAAAAATTACATTGTTGGGGGCTGTAGAGATAGCACAGAGGGTAGGGTGCTTTCCTTGTATACCTCTGACCAGGTTTTGATCTTTGGTCTTCTGAACCCTCCTAGGAGAGATCCCTCAGCATATGACTGGGAGTAATCTCTGATCATCAAGGTGTGACCCCCAAAACCAAAGTGAATAAAATAAAAAGTTAATTATACCAGCACCAACCTTTCTATCTCATTTTTAGGAAGGCATTGGAGCTGATAATAATGAAAATTATCCAAGGGGATGAGCTTTTCGCTAATATTTAATATTAGAAATATAAATATTGAGTATTAAAAACCTAATATTTAAAATTTTATATATAGGGTTGGGTAGATAGTTGAAAGGGTTGGAGCAATCCCCATAGCACTTCCAGGTTTGTGGCCCGCAAAAACGTGTGGATCTATACGTGTATGTGTTTATATAGGTGCATACATATATATATATAATGAACACTAATGCAAAATGTTCAAAATTCAAACTCCAAACCCCCCCCCCCCCCCCCCCCCCCCCGCTCAGGGATCATTCCTGACTGGCTTGGGGGAACATATGGGGCGCCAGGGATGGAACCTAGGTTGGTTGCAAGCAAGAAAAGTGCTGCCCTACTCATTGTACTAACAGGTACTATCCTCCTGCCCAACAAAATTCAAATCTTTAATTTGAATTTGAGGGATGCAGAGGGAGGAGAAAAGTAAGGGGATGTAGGAGGACGTTTGATTTTATTTTCACGAAGTACTCAGAATCTTTGACACAAAAATGCTAATTTTTCTCTACACCAAATCCAAGTCGAAGAAGCTGATAAGGCAAGTGTAAACCTGATTGAGGGACTCCTTTTGGTGTTTCTTATGGATGCTATTCATTTTAAATTCTTATTCTAGTCTTACAGATAAAACAAGAGTGGGGACGGGCTTATTTTCACTTTGTAGAACCCACAATCCCCGCCGCTTTCCAAACTGACGGCAGAACCAATAAGCAGAGTTTCACGGATTTGGGCTCTCGGGCGTGAATTTCAGACTGCTTCTGCTTAGTCTGGCGTCAAAAAAAAAAGAAAAAAAATCTTGCCTAAGTGCTGGAGGAAGGTGGCCCTAATTTCCAGCCAGAAGTTGCCGGCAGGAAAGCGACCGCTGTCAGATGAGACCGGCAAAGAAGCGCGCCGGGTACCAATCCCGGGGGCGGAGCGAATGAGAGCCCCGCCTCTCAATGCAGCCAATAGCCTCGGGCGAGAGCGTGGGGCGGGGCGACACTTGCAGGTGACGTCGTGATTGGCACCGCGGTTCCGCCGCGAAGCTTCCGGGACGACTGGGCTACAGGAACTCTAAACGAGTGTTGACCGACCAAGTTTGTCTACTCTGGGGCACCGTAGTGACTCTCCCCGGCCGGACCGGGGCCGGGTAGAGTTGAGCCAGGTGGCTAGCCCCTGGCTCAGCCTAGGAGACCCAGATGGCTGCGGTGTTTTTAGTAACACTCTATGAATACTCGCCGCTTTTCTACATCGCGGTGGTCTTTACCTGCTTCATCGTGACTACTGGCCTGGTATTGGGATGGTAAGTGTCCCAGGGGCCAGTGGCAAGGGACCAAGGGGACTGACAGTCGGACAGAGGGGTCACAACAAGCATCCAAGGACGTCGGAGCCGGGAGTTTGTGGGGCTGGGGTGCCTTGACCTCTCCGGAAGCCGGGACCAGGAGCTCCTGCTGGACCCTGGATAGTAACAGGGTGAACCCATCACCTGCATTACTGCCCTTGCCACACTTTTTGGTCCCCTTCGCTGCGATCCTCTGGGGGTGGTGCCAGATTGAGGTCTATTCCCCAGCTTTGTTTTTAGATAATAAAACTGCCAGGAAGGCCCAAGTGTGGTGTTAGGACAGAATGCTTGTCCAGCAGGCGGCTCTTCAGGGTTGGGGTCGGCTATGTGTCCCCACGGAATCAAATTTCTGCTGGGCAGTAATCAGACTGTGCACTGTTGTTCCCCAGCTCGAACCGGAGTGCTGGACGGCAGACCTTTCAGCATAATTTACAAATGAATTCGGTTACCATTTGGGAAGGTAGTATCTACACATACTCCATGCCTTTGGAATGTAACATTTACTAGAGGGAATTGTAATGTCATAATTTGAGAGGCGAAAGAGACCCGAGACATAAGTAACATTAAGAGAGGAAATTAGTTTATTTGGGACAAGAGAACCGAGTGTTGGGTAACCTTGAACTACTTTCCAGCCCAGAGATTCTAAACTTTCTCTCTTGAGAACATGCCATTGTCTCAGGTTTTAGAGAAGCTAGTTGAAATCCCCCCCCCCCCCTTTTTTTGTAACCAATCCATTTGCTGAGGAGAGAGACTTGAGCTGGATTTTGAAGTCTGATTATCTTGTAACGTTAGTTAATATGTAGCAAAGAACGGAAGGGATTCAGAGAACATAACTGGAGCAGAGAGGTCCAGGCTGAGATGTGTTAATGCAGCGTGTAGAGAGGTTGAAAACCACTGGTTACTTCCTAGGTTATAAGGGCAGTTGATGGACCAGTATGCAGTACAGGTACTGATTCGCAGGTGTAAAAAGTTTGATGAATGCTGTTTTCCCCCGAAATGTCTGTGAAAACTAAGTAAATCAACGCTTTAATTACAGATATGTGTTTAAGGGAAGGATACAAGGTCCTTATTAATTTCTGAAACCAGATGTCATCTTTAGAATGGTTATAGCATTTTGGGGCCTGAGTGATAGCATAGGGTAGGGCGTTTGCCTTGCATGCAGCCGACCCAGTTTGATTCCTCCATCCCTCTCCGAGAGCCTGACAAGCTACCAAGAGTATCCCACCTGCAGGGCAAAGCCTGGCAAGCTACCTGTGACATATTCGATATGCCCCCCCCCCAAAAAAAGTAACAACAAGTTTCACAATGGAGACATTACTGGTGCCCGCTGGAGAAAATCGATGAACAATGGGAGGACAGTGACAGTGATATCATTTTGATGTTTTCTCACTGCTCCGGACCTTACTAGCAGCAGAAGGAGAAGTTGCTTTTTTTGTGGTCAGGGGGATGTTTCTTGATAGTTTCTGATTCTTGACCCATTACATTTATTAGTATTATTTGTTTCTAGGAAGTTTGAAATTGGAAGTTGGAAGGTAATGGTTAATTAGGAAAAGCAGCCCTAACTTAGGAGTGTTTAATGACTATAATGTCATTCTCTTAATGAAGTGTGATTTTCTTCCACTAAGGAAAGTAGTAACTATTTGATAATTGACTATATATATTTGGGCCACACACTGCTGTGCTTAATTCTTGCTCCTGGCTCTGCCCTTGGATCACTCCTGTTGGGCTCTGGGGACTATATAAGACGCTGGAGATAGAATCGCATGCAAGGCAAACACCTTACTCTCTGTACTATATCGCCAGCACCAATTGATTATATTTTTACATTTTAATTTTAAGTGAGCCAACAATTAATCTATCTTAGATAGCTATCTATGGACTGGGAAGAAGAAAGTGAGTGAAGGCCATATTAATGTTAATGGCAGTATCTGTGGATGAAAAGTAGTCAAGAACTTCTTTTTTTGTTATTTGGCAGTCATACCTGGCAATACTCAGCACTTATTTTTTGAATTTTTGAATTTTATTTTTTATTTTGCATTGAATCAGCATGTCACACAGTTACAAAGTTGTTCATGATATGTTTTCAGTCATTCAGTATTCCAACCCCCGTCCCTTCACCAGTGTACATTTTCTACCACCAATGCCCCCAGTTTCCTCTGCCACCTAACCCCCTGCCAGTCTACCTCTCTATGGCAGGCACTTCTCTCTCTCTCTCTCTCTCTCTCTCTCTCTCTCTCTCTCTCTCTCTCTCTCATTTTGGGCATTATGCACAGCGGGTAGGGCGTTCGCCTTACAAGCGGCCAACATGGCCGACCCGAGTTCGATTCCTCCACCCCTCTCGGAGAGCCCGGCAAGCTACCGAGAGTATTCGATATGCCAGACACAGTAACAACAAAGTCTCCAATGGAGACGTTACTGGGCCCGCTCGAGCAAATCGACGATCAACGGGAGGGCCTTTACCTTTTACCTTATAGTTTGCAATATAGGTACTAAAAGCTTATCATGTTTGTTCATTTACCTACTTTTAACATGCCCTTCTTATCCAGAGTGATCATTTCCAGCTATCGTTGTCATGGAGGTCCCTTCTCTTATCCTAACTGCATTCTCCCCCCACCACTTGAGTCAAGCTTCCAACTGTGAACCAATTGTCCTGACCCTTGTTTCTACTCTCCTTGGGAATTTAGTCTCATACTATGTTTTCTTGTATCCCACAAATGAGTCAGCACTTACTTTTTGATCTGTGCTCGGAGATCACTCCTGGCAGTGCTTAGAGACCGTATGCAGTGCTGGGGATCGAACTAGAGTTGACTATGTCGAGGCAAGCGCCTTAACTCATGCACTCTTTCTGGCTCCAGGAAATTCCTGTTAGTGATTTAAAGACCATACAGAGCTAGATAGTCCTAGCATTACCAGGGCTATGATTTGGTTTAAAAACTTTGTGTATGTAGGTATGACTTTTACATGAGTGGAAACCCAGATATTTATAGAACTTCTGGAAGTCCTGGCTAAGCACTGCCTGGAGCCATAAGATCATGTAAGTTCCAGTTACTTCCATCCCTTCCATCCAGATTGGGCCTAACCCAAACATTCTCTCTGGGTAAGCTTTGGCCATATAGATAAACTAGGATAAACTAGTGTTTTTTCCACTTTTTTTTTTTTAACTAACTTAAGCCAAGATTACAGATTGACTTTCTAGACCTTTTCCTGAGATCTGCGTTCTAGCTCCATCAGGATCCTTCCTCTAAGTTTTAAGCTGTTTTCTTTTGCTTTTACTTCTGTCCAAGTAGTGCTAGTTCCCCCGTCCCTCCCCCACCCGGCAATTGTTATTAATCCTTTGATTAATTAGTATCATCTTTTGCCTTTTCAACTCTTCAACATTTGGATAACATTTTGGTGGGGGGGGGGGTAAGGGGATTTAAATCCTTTCTGTTGAAATTCCTTGTGTGCTTTTAGTCTCTTGGCTGGATTACTAAAGATAATGATTATGGAGTTGTTACTAAGAATAGGGTGGGGAGGTAGAAGTCTATAATTTGTTACCTAGGGTTTAGTTTGGTCATAGTTTCAGCTCCTTGTCAATGAAAAATAGGATTTTTACTAATCTATGGCATGCTCTGGCATCACATCCAATCAGGTGAATACCCTTGGTTGATTGGGATGAAATGATTTTTCAAGTAAGAATCTTGGGAAACTGGGTGCCTAAATCACTTGACAATCAGGACAGAAATGACTGAAGGACTGAGAGAAGGAAGGGATGGTTGCTTGTGTTCAGTGGCATACTAATAGAAAGAAATGACAAGTCCTTATCATTAACACTCAGATCAAGAATTAGTCAGAGTGTCTATGGTCCTAAGGTACTTTATTTCATGTGGCTATGGAGCTAAACTAGGCAGTTTTAATTGTGCTGGTCACAATACATAGCCTTGTTGTGACTCATTTAGAATATCCATTGGGAAGGAGTAGAACCTTGAGATTTAAATAGGAATGTCTAAATAGACTTGGACAAAGCTGAGAATCTGGAAACACGTGTACTCCAAGCCTCTTCCATTGATGGAAGCAGTTTGTTTTCTGAGTCTGAGAAAACCTGCCTTCACTTGCTTAGAAGATCCTGTAATAGTATAGGACAGTTGCTTTGGTATCTATACTTAAGACTTACTCTTATTATCATTTTCCCAGAGGCCCAGGTCTCATCTTGCTCACAGAACAGGAGCAAAAATCTATTTGGGAATAGCCTAGTCTTTAAAGTACTCGCAAAATTTTGCTAGTTTTTATCCATTGGAACTTGGGGAACTATGTATAAGGAATATATATATATATATATGAACTATTTATAGTATATGAGGATTATGTTAAGCTAAGACAATAGAATATAATACTAGATAATATCAAATTTATTTACAGATTCTGTACCTAGTCTTCTGCTTGATTATTGGGACTTAGACTCTGAGATTGCCTATATTTAATAAGACTAACCATGTCAGAACTTTCCTAGAATAATTAGAAAGGAACCAGAAGACTTAGGTAGCTAGGAATATTATACAAGGTTTATTTTATTGCTTTATTTTGGGGTCAGAGCTGGCAATGCTCAGGACTTGGTCTGTGCTCTGTGCTCAGGGGACTGATTTTAAGTGGGGCTGGCCATGTGCAAGGTGAATGCCTTACCACAGTACTATCTCTCTGATCCATGGACTAGATTTATTGTGTGCAACCCACACACCCATTCACTTGCTACATCCTCCAACAGGACATGGATGACACACTTTTTACAGAAGCTGAGAAATATTCTCCTGAGAAAAGACAGGTATCCTTGGAGATCTCTGACTCCTGTCCTCTCTTGTGATGATGGTGATACTGACATTAGTGAGGATTTCTTAATGTGAGGTATAGTGGCAACACCTCTGCAGGGGTAGCAGTGGGTATAAGTTCCTTAATAGGTACTGAGAGGCAAAGCAGAGAATGTTTGG